CCTAGGGGTGAAGAGAGATGGAAGGAATAGAGAAGTGGGAAGTCCAGCTTCCCAGATCCCCCCCCCCCCAAACCACCTGGAAAGCCTGCCTGGAGAGTGAGGAGGCAGGGTGAGGCTGGATGGGGAGGAGGGGAGGGGTGGGTGGGTGAAGGAGTAAAAAAAAAGTCTTTAATCCCTTGCTCTCTGTGATCCAGCCTATTCCCTGAGCAGGTATAGTCAGATGCAAGGCAAAGTTGTTATCTTATTCTTGATTTAAATAAATAAATAAAATAAAGTAAACCCCCAGAGGAAGTCCTTTGTGCTAATGCGTTGGGGCTTCGGAGTATGTGTCGGTGCCCTGAAACATAGCTTCCCACGTGAGCTGAGAGGGAAGCCAGAGGATGTGTTTTTGTCTAACGGTGACTCAGAATTTGAGGCAGGAAGAGAGAACCCTCTGCAGCCATCTGCTTCCTAGCCAACCGAGGACAAATGAGTATCAGTGTGTGGGCGCCCCCAATCACAAGTGAGAGGTTAATGCCACAGTTACCCTTTCCAGCGGCATAGCCGGTGGTCAGTAACACCCTCTACAAACACGCGTGCCTCCCTTGAGATGCAATTAGAATTTCATCCATTGGAAAAGGAAAGCAAACTTGCTCAAACTAGCTCAAGTCGAACGACAGTCTGTCAGGGGTGGGTGACTGAGAAATCAGCTTGGCCCCATGGAGCCAGAGGACTCTTGGGCCTGTCCTGGTCTCCCAGCCGGCTTCCTGTGGCCTCTTAGCCCAGCTTCCCTGAACAAAGTTTTGAGACCTGTGCCCTCGCTGAATGAGTCAGGCAGGGTGGAGGCTGGGGGGAGACGTCACGCCCAGCCCCACGCCCACGACAAAGGCTCTGCACACCTTGTTAGGAGCTAGGCACAGCTGTAAGGTGTGAAAACCATTTTAAAGATGACCTTGACCATAGGAGCTGAGCCAAACACTTAACCCAAACACCGGATCCTGAAAGGGTACCACAGCCGAAACTTTCCGAGCAGTGACATGAGGTCTTTTACACACACACACACACACACACACACACACACACACAGATATAACCACTTACAATCAACCCAGACTGTTGGTCTACGGTGTGTTTGGGATATAAGTAAATTTTGCGCTTAGACTAGACTCCTGTCCTCAAGATATTTCATTATGTATGTATATATATATGCAAATGTTCCAAAAATGTCCTAAATCTAATAAATAAATCTGAAACCAGGGACTCTTCTGGTCCCAACCTTTCAGTTAAGAGCTTCAACCTATGTTTACATCTTGGACTTTGCGTGGGGGTGAGGGGGGGTGTCTTACTACTGGCAGCATTTACGAAGGCGCTTTAGTGTAACCGTCTGCAGACATCCACTGGGATGTGTTTACCTTTGTTCTCCAGCAAAGTTCAAGCAGATGCCCTTGTAAATAATGCCTTCTCCTTCCGGCTTCCTTCTACTGGGGAATCCCAGTGGGTAATTAGCGGGAGAGTCACGTGACCCACAGGAAGCTATCTCAAACGCATGTGTGGTTTGAAGATGCTTCAGTAAAATTCATTTCATGGTGGGGTCAGTATGGGGGAATGATTCCATACACAATGATGGGAACAAGCAGCTGTTTGCCTGTGTTCCCACCCAAGAGCGAGCTCAGTGTAAGGGAAGAAGAGTAGTCATGCCCCAGTGCTAACCCCCCCAAAAATCACTTGACAACCAATCTCTACACCCTTAAAAACCTATAAAGTAATATTTACACGCATCTAAAGTAATGATTTAGTGTGTTTTTCACCCATTCTTTTAAAAGTAACTTAACAAAGTAGGCAAAGGCGTGCTTTTGTGGGCAGTTACCATTGAAGCAGTACTTAATCACCTCCCTTATTTGACAGCTCTCATGCAACAACATATTAAGCTCTGCCAGTCCCGTGAGGCGAAGGAAGGTGCTTCCCACTTTTATTTTGCCTGGCCTTAGGGAGAAGTCCTCTTCCAGCGTACAAGAGTTCAAATCCGTTCCGCTCCGAGTCGTAATGCGCTCTGCATTCTGTGACAAATGAGGACAGTTTCTTCTCATTCGACACATTCATTCTCTGAGCTCCTCCACAGATAACGCTGTTTGCTACACCGCGCATAGCGCATAGCCAGCTTTCTATGTGGCCTATGGGAACTGGAGAGGGAAAAGTGACCCTATGGCAAGCGGGTGTCTCTGTGATGCCCCAGATCAAGAGTGGCAGGGACCCAGTCATCCTGTTATGTCTACCTGAATAGTCCTAGCTACTGAGGAGACTGAGGCAAAGAGATCACTTGAGCCCAGGAGTTCCAGACTAGCCTGGGCTACATAGTGAGATACCCCTCCTCATAGGGAAGAGGGGGATATTGTTAGATTTTTCAGTATTCCTATTGCTTCCAATTGGAACAACACCCAGCTACCCAAAAGGTACGTGCAGACCAATGAAACTGATTTTGACTCTCTCCAATGGGAGTGTTTTACTTCAGTCTAATTTGAAACCCTGCAGCCTGCTGGTTTAAATAGTGTCTTGCACGCCCAGATGGACAGTGAAAGTTGGCCGTTCTCTGCAACGGCCCTTTTGTGCAGTTGCCTGCTTCCTTGTGAATTTCTGGCCCACTGGATTTCATGCACTCATTAGCTTTATTTAAGAACCTATCATTGCCTGGAGACACCTGGGTCCATCCACAGAACGTGAATAATTGCAAAAACTGAGCAAAATTAAGCAGCCAGGATCATCAGAGGTGGCTTTGTGCAAGGGTTAGGCACAGCTGGTGCCCTCTTAGTAGGGGAATAGAGACTAATTGGGTAATCTAGAAACCGATTAGCCTGAAGGAGGGAAAAGAAGTCGGTTTAGCTGTAAGAGAAGCATTCTCAGTGGCAGGGGAAAGGCATCATGTGCATTGAGAAGCAGCTTATGGAACCGAAATACCCTGGGATAGAAACATTCAGATTTATTTTCACTGCTGTGGTTTAAAACAGTGGGGTGAGGATGCTGGGCTGGAGTCAGAGACCGGGCTTTTCTAGTATGAGTTATAGGCATGGGGTCAGGCTGTCCCTTTGGCATCAAGGCAAAGTTTTCATTATGTCACTCTCTGTGGATCATCCTTTGAAATGAAAATGGTTTGTAGACCTGCTTTCACTTAGCACTTAGGTAGCTATATGTTCGACTCTAGTAAAAGCCATAAAAATTCTGCTGCTAAAAAGGTATGTGCAAAAGTGAGTGCCCTTTAGCACAGTTAGTCCATTAAGAAGGCATGCGCTGAGGATAAATCTTCTAAGAATGTCACTGTGTTAGCATGCAACTAACCAGAGTTTGAATCTGTAACATGCTTGATCATATAAGGACACAGGTGGCATCTGAAATTAATAGGCCCTTAGGGTGTAGAAGTGTGAAATCGACCCTGTGGCCTCATTTCTAGAGTCCTCTAATCAACAGGCCTCAATAGCTTTGGGCTAAAATTAGGTAATGTTTGCATTTAGTAGCATCACTAGCAGAGACCAGTAGTCAACCCAAGCAAGGGTCCATGGTGTCACTTGTATTTCTGAAATCCAGCCTCATGCCAGGACCTTGCTGATGCTCGCTGAACGTGCAGATATTACAAAGTCAACGTAGGGCAACAAGACTTGGAATGACAGACACTTGCCTTGGTCCCATCGGGGCTCTGGGGACAGCCTCAGTGGAAAGGAGCTGGCTGGGGACAATGAAGCAGCATACAGGATAGTGTGGTGGGTTGAGTAGGAATGGCCTCCATAGACTCCAAAGGGAGTGGCATTATTAGGAGGTGTGGCCTTGTTGGAGTAGGTGTGGCCTTTTTAGAGGACGTTTGTGAGTAGCGGGTGGGTTTTGAGGTCTCAGAAGTTCAAGCCAGTTCACTTGCTGCTACCTGATGATCCCCTGCATGTCGCCATGCTTCTTCAGTGAGTGTGCATCCAGAATTGGACACTACTGGCTCATTTGATAAACCCATGGTTAGAGGGACGGCCATATGGTTGGTTTCCCATAGCAACTGCTCCCCTTTACGTCCCCACCAGCAGAAAACAAGGGTCCTAATTTCTCCACATCTTCATCGGTATTTGTTTTCTGTTTTTAAAAGTCATTCCGATGGGTACGGCCTGGCCTTGCATCTCCTTAATGTCCAAAGTCAAGAATCTCTTGGGGGTGATTAGTGGACTCTTGTGTGTCTTCTCTGGAGAAAGGCCTGTTCGTGTCCTCCACTTGTTTTTAAGTTGAGCATTGGTATTGTGTTATGACGACTGTCAAATCGTCTTTTCATCTGGATTGAGACATCCTCAGGAGACGGCAATGGGCAGAGCGTTGAGCTCACTGGATACACAGCCTATCTCCCCAAGAAAGAAGTGAGCTCCTGAGACAGCAGTCATGAAACAGCGTCACAAACACACTTGCTCTGCAAGGCAAGAAAGGCCTCCTCGGCCTGGCTGGCTCTGGGGATCAATCCACAGCAGCCACCGCCTGAAGCTGCGCAGTGGCCTCGCCTGGGGTCCCCGTCCCTGTCCTACACCCCCAGGCCAGGCTGTTAGAGCTTTTTGGGTGGAACACAGCCTCATCCAGAGTGGCTTTTCCCAGGTCAACTCCCCTCCACACGTCCCACCCACCATCATTGCGGGGAAGGAGGCATTGCCTGGACATGAGTGCTTTTCAAACGTACCAAAATAATTTCCAAGTGCAGTCCAGGCGAGGACCCTTGATGAGTAAACACAGCGAGCAACCTGGTTTGATGCTTGCTCCTGCCTTGGCGTTTCTTTCTTGTTTCCTAGTTTGATCCCTTGGTCCAAAGCTGGCAAGGGCAGGGTGGGGTGAGGTGTCTCCCAGGCCTTTGATCCGGGGATGGGGGGGGGTGACTCTAACGCGCACCTCTGGGTGCAGGGCGTGGGCCCAGCATCCTCCTGCGTGGATGCAGCAGGGCTTCCCGCGCGCCCTCCGCGCGCCCCAGCTCTAAAGTAAACACAGCCGAGGACCGGTGCCGCCCGCCGGCTCCGCTCCGCTCGGCCCGAGCCGAGCCATGGCCGAGGCGGTGCCGGCCTCCCCTGCGGGTGGCCGCGGCCTGCACCGGGGCATCATCCAGTGGTGAGCGGCGGGACCCGGGCAGGGCGGGTCGCTGCGGGCGGGGCGTGAAGCCCGGGCCGAGGGACAGGACGGGAACCGCTCAGCCCGGGCCGAGGACGCCGGTTCTCAGACACACACACGCGGTCCGCATCCGCACTGGGCTCCCGCTTTACTTTTGGCTGTCCCCGGAGTCACTCTTCCCGTGGGAAGCAATCCAGCTTGTCCCCGACCTGCCTGACGGTAGGGGAGAGACCTGGAACACAGGCAGGCGTTGGCCAGGGGAGGAAACGTTTTTTTTTTTTTTTTGTTTGTTTGTTTTTTCCTCTCTCCTGGCTGGCGTGAGCTCTAGAGTAAATGTGCCTAACTTAAAACAACTTTCAGCTTCAACAGTGCATTCCATTTTGTTTGTGAAATTCATTTCTTGGCAATTTAAATACGGGGGGGGGAGAGAGAGAGAGAGAGAGAGAGAGAGAGAGAGAGAGAGAGAGAGAGAGAGAGAGAGAGACAGACCCTCAGCCTGTGGGACTGAACTCAAAAGAGTTTGCAGGTCTTTATAAATAGGAAAATAATTGAAGCCAGTCCTCAGACCGTGGCTTTATAAGGTGACTGTTATATATCAGCCTACATTTTTCTTTTTATATGCTTTAGGAATGTTTCTCAGGGAAAACTCTTTTTAAAGAGTCATCTGAGTAAGAAATGGGGGGGGGGATGAAGAGTATGTTTACAGTTATAGTTACTACTTTCTCCCTCCACCACCAAAAATAAATAAATAAATAAATGAATGAATAAATAAATAAATAAATAAATAATTTGTGGTCCTTCTCAGCTTGAATGAGAAAAAGCAACAGCATCATATAAACCAGACCCCATTGCGTGCCTTCTTAGCAGGAAGTGTTAGCTTGGTACTTTAGTTAACTATTTTAGCTCACCTCTGCATTTCTGGGGTTTTGAATTTTGCCCTATATATTAGAAAGGATGATTTTAAAATTTAAAATACTTGTGCATCCTCCTTAGGTGGCTTGTGGCTTGGGACCACAAGTTATCTCCTCCAGAGATAACTGATGTCTTCCAGATAGTATATTTTCGCAGCAAATCAAGACCCATGCCCAGAATTCCTAAGTCGATGGACCTCTGCCCACATGACCTTCAGGGCTGGGAGAGAGGACTGGGAGACTTCGGTTCACCTACACTGGCATTCAGAATACTGCCCCAGCTTCTAACCAGGCTCCCCAAAGCGAGGGATATTTAGATCCTTAGAGCAATGGCCAAGAGCCTGAGCCCTGACAGGTAGCTCAGGAGAGACTAGGAAAGGCCCGGACTGTTGCCACGTGGAGCTGTTGCTATATTTCTGCATTACTTCACCCATGTCCTCCAGGCAGTGATCTGTTAGGCAGGACAACAAGGATCTATTAGTCCTATGGGGGGCCCATCTGGGACAACAGTGCTTTGGTCATCTGCACATGGTAGATTATCCCCAAGGGAAAAGTTGGGATGCCTGCTAGTGTAGAGGAATCGAAGGAAGAGGTTTCCATTTCAGAGACAGGAAGAGGCGTGGTCAGACTGGAGAATGCAAAAATTGACAGCAATATTGTGACTGCAGGCCCTCAGGGCCTGGCTGCATTGGGTCTCGGCATCCAACCTCAGGTAGAACACGGGACATTTTGGTGGCACACTGGAGACCCTTACCCAGTGTCACCTGTGGTAGGTTTGTTTTGCTTTGTTTTGTTTGCCTCACATCATTTCCCCAGAGCACATGTAATCGAGGTCAGGCTTAGCAGTTACTCCTGGGGGCTGTACTTCCTGCCTGGAGGGAGTCTGCTAACACCTACAATGCTTGTATCTTTCTTGCTTCTGTTTGGCATTGTGATGAGAGAGATAAAAATGGCAGTCCCTGAAGAAAAAAAAAAAAAAATCAAGTTAATAGAGAAAATGGCTTACTCTGACTAATGGGTTCTCCAGAGGTTTCAGTCCAGAGTCAACGTGTGTGTGTGTGTGTGTGTGTGTGTGTGTGTGTGTGTGTGTGTGTGTGTGTGTGTGTGTGTGTCTGTGTGTCTGTGTGTGCCTGTGTGTCTGTGGCAGGACAGGGCCTCACAGACAGTGGCTAGGGGAATAATGCTGCTAATGGCAGCCGTAAATCAGAGTGGGGGTGACCCCAGGTCCCAATATTCCCTTCAAAGTCACCTCTCCCGTGACTAAATGTCCCAGCAACCACCTAGCACTATAACACAGTGGACAGGCTGTTAGCGGGTCGCCTCTGGAACCAATTAATGCCCACACCCTCCCACCTGCCTAGACTCCTTTAGTGTACACTGTGGTATTATTTTGCTTTACCAGGTAAATAAGTGTCTGTCCTGTAATTACATCAATCTTGGCTACAGCATCTGTAAAGAGTCATCAAAGAGTATCTACTTCTTTTTATCATGCAACTTCCCCTTCAACAAAACCCCAAGCCTTACAGTGCAGACGATTGAAAACCCATAGTCTGTATTCCTAACACTGGCCTAAGGACAAAAGAGATTTTTTGTCCTATGCTGCCAGGGAGCTTCTACTCCATTTGACAATCTAGACAGAGGTCGTGTAAGTCATTGGTTCTGTCAGAAAAGGTTCTACTTCAGAAAAACAGCTGCTGATTTTCCCTCTCTCTCTCTCTCTCTCTCTCTCTCTCTCTCTCTCTCTCTGCAGGCTGGTCGACAATTTCTGCGTCTGTGAAGGATTCAGTGTGCCTCGATGTCTCATGTATGAGATTTATGTGGAGACCTGTGGGCAAAGTGCTCAGAACCAGGTTAACCCAGCAACATTTGGAAAGGTAAGTGTGTGTCTGTGTGTGTGTGGGGAGGGGGGAGGTTGATAGAGCTGTATTCACTGAGGTGCTTTGTTTTGTAAGTTACAGCCCCGGCCAGGGTGGCGTAAGTGTGAAGATACATTTTGAGAAATGTTGTTAGGTTATGTCATTGTTCAAACGTAGACTGAGATGGGCGTGGCGTTGCTGATGGTAAAGCCTTATGAGACCCCATATTTGTAGGCCACCACTGGCTGCCTCTGAGGAAAGTCTGACTTGCACTTGGGTTCAGCGGGGTCTCAGTAGATCTGGTTGGTTTTGCTCTTGGGGACCACCAGTCAGTAGCCTCCGTTTGTGCTGAAAATCCTCTTTCCATCTCTACACGTTACCATGGTTTAGGGGAAGGTTGAGGTACTCTTTCCATGGTAACCCCAGCATCTTCCAAAGGGCTTGGTTTGCTCAGTACTTCCTCCTGAGTACAAGTGCGAAAGCTCTCAGAGCACAGTTCTGAGTCATGCTGGTACCCAACAGTTGATGCTTCCTGAACTTCAGGTGGGTTTAGAGAACTCACTGACTTTGGAAGTTGGTGCTCATGTCTAGGAACTTCACCTGAGAATACTTATACGCAACAGAATGACAGCCCGAGACCCTCTCCGCTCAACAACTCTCACGAGCAACTACTTAATGGGCAGACCCTGCTTCAGGTGCTAGGAATACAACAGTGAGGTTGACAGAGAGCAAGTCCAGGCCTCGCTGCATTCCAGTTGTTCAGGCTACCAGGCCTAGGCAGGGGTCCTTAGTGCTGTTTCCTTGCTAGCAAAATGAACCTGGAGTAATTAAAGCCGAGGGTCCCACAGCTGGCCATAATGCATGGCTAGCAGATGTGGCCCCCGGAAGCAGGTGCGGAGTTCTCTCCACTTGTTGATTTCCACCAAAATCTTTGAGCTTGCAGACGCCGGCAGCCAACTCAGCACAAGAGGAGCCTTCTAAGCACCTTACCTTGCCTGTGAACTTGATATGAGAACAGTGAGCCGTCCCTGGGCTAAGACTTGATGCTCAGCGAGGGATAGCACATTTCTGCCAAGGGGAGGGACGTGTGCTATTCCTCTGGACATACACAGCCCATGCCAGGATTTGTGGTTCGGACAGCAGAACACTGGCGGATGAAAAACACTTACCCCGTCGCCACGGGGCTTGGCACGGTCCACAACCTGTTCCTCACGTCCAGGTTGATCTTAGATGACCAGGGTGACAAGGAGCCTGCTCATGTGGGTCACAGAGCTGCCAGTTCTGTTTCCCCCATTCTTTGCAAGGGTCTCTATGTACACACAATTGGAATTGTTCAGGGTGTCCTTCGATCGCTGGTAAATGTACAGCCTACTGGCTTTAAAGGTTAATCGTTGTCATCAACATCTTGTCTGGGTAAGAAATCCAGAGGAGCCTGATAAAGACGAACTCGATCCACCTGGGAGATGGCTCGGACGGAAAGGCGCTTGCTGAGCAAGCATGAGGACCTGAGTTCCAATCCCAGCATCCGTGCAGAAAGCTGGATCAGGTGGTGCATGTGTGTAACCCCAGCACGGAGGGAGCAGAGACAGATGGGTCCTGGGGGCTTACTGGCCTCTAGCCATTTGGTGAGCTTTCCGTCGCTATATTACATGGAGAGCTCATTTGATCTTTTTTGTGACCCTGTGCTTTGTGCAATCCTCCACCGAGGGTGGACACTAAGACTGTTCCCTGATGTCACTGCCATAGCCAAGCACGTACCTGTGTTCAGGTGTGCATGCACGCGAGGATCTCCTCTTGGGAATGCACCTGAAGAGTGATGACGAGAGCCACGAGGTGTGTGGTCATGAGGACCAAGCTGTTGGTAGCGTCCTTACCTTAACTAGTAATGCTGGGGATGCTGGTGTGTTTTCCCAAATAGTGGATCATATTTAGATCTACTCTCCCCACTCAGTCTTCACAGCTGAAGCTTCCAGTCTCCGATGACCTTTCTGCGCTGTGATATGTGGTAGAATCTTCTGGCGTGACAGCTGCTTGAATATAGGAAGCCACTGCTCTGACCGCCATGTCTTGGAAGAAAGCTATGCTCACCACTGTACCTACCAACGCCATGGCTTGATCATGACTACTCTTGGTTGCAAAAAGGGCCACCTTCCTGCCCACCCATTTCATTGTGACTTCAGCTTATGGATATCCCCACCCCTGAAAGTGGCCTCAGAGATGCCACCCAGAGCCTCTATAGTGTCCTCAGACACAGGGGTGTTTTCTTTTTACCTTTGGAGGCTTTTATTCTTCTTGCCATTCCCTTAGTTTCACTTTAAATATGTCACCAACAATATATATATATATATATATATATATATATATATATATATATTTTTTTTTTTCAAGTAAGTTCAAATGAAACTAGGTCTCCCAAGACAGCTTGATAAGCCGTAAATTCTCTGTGTAACAGGTCACAACCAAAAAGGGAAACTACCTTCAGGGTCCCTTTATCACAACATCGTACGAGGTGACTCAGAAAGTTTCTCCAGCCCGCTGGGGATTCCCACCTTGCTATCACACAGCCCAAATGTTTGCGATTTCATCACTCAGAATTTTAGGAAACATCTTCAACGGTCCTATAGAGACCTGGGTAGCCCAGCATAGCCCGCCTTCTCTGATCCGCCCACTTGCCAACCTTCTCAGAGGGGAAGTGGGTGACGTCAGCAGGGCACCATCTTTCCCTGGCTAAGATTGCAGAGGCGGCTTCCCATCTCTCTGAGTGGTGTCCTTAGAGGTTGTTCCGTTCTAGAAGAAAATTCTCTCCCACCTCCTTGTAAGATCCGGGGTCGGGAATATAGCTCAGTGGTAGAGCTCTCTCTTAGCGTGTGGAGCCCCTCGGCGTCCAGTCTCTGCACCAAACAGAGAAAAGAGCTTGCCGTGGGTTGTTACTCTACAGAGCGTTCCAGAGGAAAGAAACGAGACTCCAGTCTGACCTCCGCATTTATTTTGAATTCTTTGTCTTGATATTTCCCTTAGAATTCACTCCCCCCAAGATGCCAAGGTTCTAACATGGAGCTTGGTTGGCAAGTTGCCTGGAGAACAGGCCGGCGGAATGGGACTGATTGTTGGGAATGTGTCCTGTGTGCCAAAGCTGTGGCTAAATGGAGAAGGGAAGGGCAGGGAAGGGGATATGACCACAAAGCATGTTTACAAGAGAAACAACAGAATATCCAATTCTCCCTTCCTCCCTCCTCCCCCGGGAACTGAGTCCATTCCCGAGGAGTTCCTGCACAGATGATGGGGACAGGCATGCACTGTATGATGAGCACTCTGGCTGCAAGTGATATCTTCCATGCGTTGGGGAGTTTCTGGAGGCCGACTTCCTCTGCTAAAATAACACTGACGGATGTTTTTTCTGGTTGGAAAAGGGACTGCGTCTCCCCTGTGAGCAACGGGGAAATGGAAAAGTGTTAAGAAGAGAAAATAAATGCGGGCTGTAGCCTCACTGTCGAAGGTACAGCCACGCGCATGGTCCGTTTGCACACTTGCACGCACGCTTGCGTGAGCGTCGGGAGCTGGGAGCTCGTTCTCATGTCCCTGTCTGTGTACCTCGTGGTCTCCCTCTTCCCTCTGCCCCGATGAGCCGGTGAACTCCCTAGGACCCCTGGGTGAGGCAGAGTTCTCTTGTCACCCAAGTCCACAGCAGCTGGATGCTTGGAATGCCCAGCCTCGTATGGTACCCAGAGTCCAAGGCAGCTTCCAGATGGCATGGTCTCCCCATTCCCCGGTTCCGTGCATGCCACAAAGACCCGGGTGTGGGGGCTTGCTTTCCGCCTGTCCACCTCATCCTGCTGGCCTCCACCTTATCCTGCTGGCAGGGGTTGGTTGAGCCTTTCTGGGAGGTAGAAGAGAGGAAGGACAAAAGAGGTTCTCTTAAGAGCCAGCTGGACCCTTTTATTTAAAATGATTTATTTATTTTTACTTTATGTGCATTGATGTTCTTACCTGCGTATATGACTGTGTAAGGGTATGGGATCCCCTGGAACTAGAGTTACAGATGGTTGTGAGCTGCCGTGTGGGTGCTGGGAATTGAACCAGGGTCCTCTGGAAGAGCCGCCAGTGCTCTTAGCCGCTGAGCCATAGCTCCAGCCCCAGCCGGACCCTTTGGTGATAGGTTCTTCAGTTCCTGCCCTGGGCACATTTCGTTACGTGTCCCTTGGCTTGGTAGCTAAGTTTTCTGGCGGAGCCTACTGGCGTCTGCCTGCTTTCTTCATGTTCTTCTACCAAACAGGAAAAGTTTGTGTTCTCCCCGGCTCCAGCTTCCTCACACATGGCCGACTTCTGGCCACAGAAAGTTCTTAGCCGTTCTTGGCCTGAGCAGATGGTGGGTGGTACTCACAGGACCTAGGGCCCGAAAGCCCTTCTTGTCCTACCCACACCAGTTCTGGGTTGTCCTCCTCGGGGACACTTGGAGTGACTGGACGAGCCCTCTCACACAGCCCTCACAGCAGAGAGGGAACTCCCCTAGTGAGAAGTCCTTGGGTTTCCCCGTCTGTATCTCACTGTGTATGAATCAGCTCAGGATTCTTTTTTAAATAGTTTAATAAGTGAATAGCCACTCTATAACAAAACGCCCACAGACACAAGCCCCTAGGCTGTACAGTCCACCCTCCAATCCCCCTTTGCCCCATCCTGTTGTATACATACTGCAAGGATAGTCTGACGATGGATGGGCGGGCGCACAGGAGGTGAACAGATAGATCCATAATGGGCAGACAGACAGGGATGGATGATAATCCGGATGAGAGGAAACCCTTTCTCATCTCCCCCAAGTGGAAGGTAACGCAAAGGGGGACAGGCGGTAGGAAGCAAAGCAGGAGCCTGGCCGGGCAGAGACATCGTTTGGCAGTGATGTGGCTTTCCCTGTCCTGGCTTCCAAAGCGTCCGCACATGCGAGATTTCTCCTTCTAGCACGCGTGAGCCCAGATACTGCGCCTGTGGTTAGCCCCCTTGCTAAGGCAACGATGACAGATTCCTGTTGATGGCTGGAACCTGAGCATCTCTGGACATGGGGGGGGAGGGGCATCAAGGCAGCTCAGCCCAGAGATGGGAATTTGAATCCAAGTGGCCGTTATTTCAACTGAGTGCCGTTTCACTCCTAAAAAGCGTTGCAAGCGAGGGGCGGGGGTGAGCCACAGAATCTCTATGATGCCTGGAAAAGGGGAGAGTAGCAAAGCACTGGGAGCAGCCCACGCGTGGACGGGCCAGTTTCTAGAGAACGTTCATGACTCCAGTCAGTGGCGTTAATGACCAGGACAGCAGAAGGCAAGACTGCACACAGATGCCAGAGGTCTCATCTACAAACACTGTTCTACAGCAGTGGTTCTCAACCTGCCCAGTGATTAATCCCCCTCCCCACCCAGCCGTAAAATTATTTTGTTGCTACTTGGAAACTGTGATTTTGCTACCGTCATGGGTCTTCATGTCAACATCTGTGCTTCCTGATGGTCTTAGATGACCCTCGTGGATGGGTTGTTCAACCCCCAGAGAGGGTCACGACCCACAGGCTTGGCGCTGGGGATCTAAGCCAGGACCCCAGCCTGGACACCGAGGTTTATTTAAAATGACACTTTTTGCTCTGTGATGTATTTTACTTACCGGATATGTAATCCGTTATAGTACATTTTTTTTAATAACTCTTTGGTAAGTATAGATGAAAAAGAGTCTGTCTTCGGTTTTCAAATTGCATCTTCCAATCTGCTTGTTCCCGCAGCTCGTGCGCTTGGTTTTTCCTGACCTGGGCACCCGGAGGCTGGGCACGCGAGGAAGTGCCAGGTAGAGTTGTAATGGCTGCTTTGTGTTAGGTGGTGAAAACGGAAAGTGTGGGCCAATCACAATAAATGACAGAAAGTGTGACAGAGTGAGCTGTATGCGCCATCTCTTACCAGATGGTGCCGTGGTTGGGACTGGATCCCTGTGTGGGGACTTACCCAGGTAGCACTACACTCATTTGCTTCGGAATCTCACTAAAATATGAAGATTGCTTTAAATACTTTCGATGCTTAGGAATGTGCCCACTTATTAAAACGTTTAAGTAGTTACGCGCATAAGATAATGCCAATTGTTTTAATTACTCCTTGAACTGAAATGTCTAAGAGTTTGGTCCATTAGTCTATCCGTTGTATTCAGGAGGCTGCGGCCTAAGGTGACAGTTTTTCTCAGGAAATTCCAGTGCCATCAAATGCGTCCTTATCATAATTGCCAGGCAATTATCATTGTCATTTGTTGTTTGCTTTAAATCGAGACAGGACATCGGTGAGCAGGGACAGAAGCCGGTTTAGAGGAAGGACTGGCTGCCCACGGAGAAACTGGAGACAGTGCAGAGCTTGCCAGATCTAGCCTTGGCAGTAATTAAGTTGGAGCCGGCTGGTTCTATTGTGAGCCTGGGCGCACTGCTGTCGGTTTTTGCAGACTCCTCAGAGGGGATGGGGGGGCCCTGAGGAAGGAGCGTGGCTTCCTTTCTGCAGGCTGAGTCCTCGGAAAGGCGGGCAGGGCGGTGGGGCAGAAGACCTGCTCCAGGACATCTCTGTAAATGTCTCTAAAACGTTTGAGAAAGCAGACTGAGCACCCTACAGCCCTTTGCTAGGGCTGTTGAAGTGTCTCTAATAACAGACAGGCTGTGGCTTACGATGGGTCAGAGATGCAGAGGTCAGAGAGAGATGCAGAGGTCAGAGAGAGATGCAGAGGTCAGAGATGCAGAGGTCAGAGAGAGATGCAGAGGTCAGAGAGAGATGCAGAGGTCAGAGATGCAGAGGTCAGAGAGAGATGCAGAGGTCAGAGATGCAGAGGTCAGAGATGCAGAGGTCAGAGAGAGATGCAGAGGTCAGAGAGAGATGCAGAGGTCAGAGATGCAAAGGTCAGAGAGAGATGCAGAGGTCAGAGATGCAGAGGTCAGAGAGAGATGCAGAGGTCAGAGATGCAGAGGTCAGAGATGCAGAGGTCAGAGATGCATGCGGTCAGTGGCCAGAGATGCGGTGGGTACACCTAACCTGCCTGCTGTCCTCACTGAGAGGAACTGTGCACACAAACCATGTGCTTGCACATACCTCAGCGAGTTCCCTCTGTTTTCCAGGTACCATTATGATGGAATCTATATCAAGAAAAGTTCTTTCTTCTACTCCCATTACTGCTACCTCCTGGGTAAAAAAAGCTGTCACAGGTTAGTGTCTGTCCTCGGGTACCTCGGTCATGGGACACAAACCCGGTTCCTTTTTCTTTTTTATGTACTTATTTATTTACTTTTGATGGGCTCTCTGTGGATTTCACACCGTGCATTCTCTTCCTACTTATCTCCCGTCCCCTCAAATCTGCCCTCTGCCCTTTCAACCTCCCCCCTCCCCCCACCATCACCAAACAAAACCAAATTTAGTAGAAAAACCAAACCAAACAAAAACGAAACAACAGGAATCTTGTCATGGAAGCTGAGCGGCCCGTTGAGACACACCGTTTACCCTTTAGTTTGTTCATCCTTACTTGCAAATATTCATTGGCCCGAGTCACTGGTCTGGCTTGAGAGCTCTGGCTTCCGCCATGCTACGGATAATGGGCTCTCACTGGGGCCCCTCTTGGCTGTCCTGTTATCCTGTGTTGTGGAGATCCTGCTGTTTTGGATCTGTAGACTCGCCCCCTTCACATGCTCCAACAGTTCACAGCTTTGGTGGATGTTGGAGTGAGCCAACTGGCAGCCCTGGTTCTGGGCCTGGGCGGTGGCTGGGTCAGCTCGTTAGCTCTCCCTGGCTGTCACTACCCAGGTGAGCTCTCCAGGACTGCCTGGGCTAGCTCACCCTGTGCAGCAACAAGCCCGGCCCGTTCTCCCGCTCTCCGGCCCTCAGATCCTACTTCCCCTCACTCTTATTGCCAGGCCAAGCTCTACTGTTTTGTCCAGGCAAGGTGCAGGGCCCTCTTTCCAGACTGCTGTAGGGGGCATATGGAGTGGGAGGCATGGTCAGCTCTCCCGTGTGCTGTAGCTGGTGTAGGTCAGGTCTAGGCTTCTCACGCTTGTGACCCCTGGGGCCGGCTCTCTCGCGCTGGTTTCTATGAAAACCTCCCCAGCTTTTAGTTGTACCTGACTGATTGGTGGTCCTCAGGATGCCGTGTGTCCCCTTCCCCAGCCAGTACCGCCCTTTAAATCCCTCCCTTCCCAGTAAGTACAGGCTTTCTCAGGTCAGCCCCAGCCCCCTCTTACCTTTGACCTTCCACCATCCCTTCCCTCCACGAGGGTGGTGCTCTACCTCATTATCGCCCATCATCCTCTGCCTGCCCACTCCCTAGGAAACCCTCTCCGGCTGTTTCCCCAACATTCCCCTTGGGATGACCCATGACAGCCTCACACTCAGGGTATGGAAACTTCAACTTAGAACCTCCCTGAAAATTGCGTCTGCATTTATGATCTCACAGTCACCCTAAACCACCACTGACTCCGTTGTTGGGCTATAAACCCTCGTTTGTTCTTCCCGTTTTGGGATACTGATATTCCGAGTGAGCCCTTGTCATCCCACTCGAAGAGCAGTTGTGCTAAGGTTCCATATGTACAGATTGGACACAGGCAGTAGATATGTCAACAGGAACGGTAGATTCAGTGTGTACGGATTGAACCACGCTGAAGGTTCACCGTGCTCAGATTGAACCAGGCCTACACCGCGTGCTGGGCAGTTAGGCCTGTGATCTTCGCACGCCCAGACATCTTGTCTTATGACCGTATCCTAAATAATACAGCATAAGTGTTACCTGCACGGCACATCGCATTATTTTCGTTATTGTGTAATCGAGAGGTGGCTTAAAGCAGATATACGGACTCACTTAGGTTCTTTGCGGACTCTCATTTTATATAAGGGACTTGAGCGTTGAAGGAAGGTGTGGATGCTGAGGGACAGACAGCTGGATTCCCATCAGCCTCACAGGGCCACCCTCTCTACTCAGCCTCCCGCTACTCCAAACGCAACCACTAGACCAAGCTTCCTAATTCGCCTTCCTCTTCCCTTCCCAGAAGCAACTGAGGCAGAGACCACCCACTAGGCAGGGCTGGCAGCCTTCCAATCCGGGCTCCCTTCCTGATAATACGTCAGGGTTCTTTCTCCATAATATCAGCCATAGTCACCTTCTTGTGACCAGGGTGTGCACGGCTCCGTTTGGTTTTTACCGTCCCGGCCTCCCACAGTCCCACTCTGCTGGGCTCTTCTTGAATCTGTCATTCCTGTTGACACCCCTGATGACATCAGGAGGACCCTCCTCAACAGCGCCAGCTCCAGGGAAGCCTCCTCCCCCCCTCTCCCTCCTGTCCACACCGCTCACAGACTCTCTACACAGCCAGCATCTTTGCTCCACTCAGCAGCTGCCTCCCGGGCCTTCACTTGGCACAAATAGGTGATTGTGTGTCCCGGAAACCAAGGGCAATTTCTTTTTCACCCGTGGCACGGGCGACATCCTCCTCATCATCACCCGTGTCCCATTCACTCACAGAGTCCTCTAGTTCGCACAAGAAAAAGTTTGTATGAGGGGCCCTCTACGGAGAGTGACTGCGAGGCACTAAGTTAAGACGTCGCATTTGATCGCGACATGGCCTATTCCCTTTGCTCGCTTAATAGACATGCTAACATGCATGTTCAGTGTGATGCAAGGGTAACGTAAGTGTCAGAAATGCACATAGTCCCCATGGGAAGGGGAACGGACGTCCCGACAGGAGGCCATAACGGGATGATGAGGGTGGGGTAGGGTGGGGGATGGCAATGGTTTTTTTTTTTTTTTTAATCATCACTTTGAGAGAGAAGGGTTACCCATGGACAGAAATAAGGACAGGGCAACATGACCTATCTGTGTACCGTGTGACCAACAATGAACTTTGAAATCTGGCCCGTGAAGTGGTTGTCTCTAAAGCTCTTGGCAGGGGCAGTCTCCGTGGGTGAGCAGTCTTTAGGCTGTACGCATCTGGGCAGGGTGTGTGTGTGTGTGTGTGTGTTGGTGGACGTTTCTGTGCACGCTGTCAACACCTACACTTGGATCAGAGGAAGGCTTTGTCATCCCTCCATGGGCACCAGTCTCAAGAGCACACATTCCCTCAGGGACTCCCTCCCATCCCCCTACTGGCATGCTACCATACGCTTCATCCTCACACGCCTACCAATCCCTGGCAGTGTCCCCCTCTCCCGTAACCTAGCTCCTGAGGGGCCGGTTCCCTTTACGCCCTGCTGAGTAGGGAGGTGGGCCTGGGCTATGCTAGCTCTCCCAGACCCTGCAGATGGTCCAAATGTGGATGGGTGCTGAGTCAGCTGATGGGTCGGTCACCCCTGGATGGGGTTCAGGGGCTGTCACAGCCAGAACTTTGGGACCGCTGCTGATGCCATCGGGTCACTGGCCTCTGCCCTGCTACAGAGAGTGCTAGAATGCCCTGTCCTCCTCCAGGCCTCTTTCTGCTCCCACAGACCCCAGCTGCCTACCCTCCTTCACAGCACCTAGAGCTTCTTTTGCACGCTGTCCACCCAGTGTCAACAGATGTTTAGTTGGATCGGGACAGAGGCGAGGCAGCGCAACGTCTTGGAATCTGCATCCTCTTATCACCTACAGAATCCACCTCAAACGCTCGCAGGAAGCAAACTGTGTCTACCTCATAGACCGAAGCTGCTCATTAGCAGAACGCTTAATTACCCAACTGTGCAGAGTACATTTAAACGTGCCTTTAAATGTGCTGTTTGGACTTGCAGCCAGGGCAGCAGGCAGATAGAGACCTGTTTCCCCCCCGACCCTGCTCTCTGAGCACAACTTTAAACCCTGGAGACAGGAGCAACCGAAGGGAATGTGGAGTGGGAAGAAGAGTTGATTTGGGACCCCAGGGCTGTGTGCCCAGCGCAGGAGCGGGACATCTCCTTCCTCCATCATCCTTAGGTCAAGAGGCGGTGCTCCCAAAACTCAACCCAGCGAGAGTCCAAGATTTCGAGGTTCTCTCTCATTCTTGGGAGTTATGAGGGATTCTTGTCAAAAAAGGAACTATCCAGGTGGTGCTGGCCTTTCCCCAGGAGCCTGAGATACCTCTTTCCAACCACAACAAACAATGAAAGGGAGGCAGGAAGGAAGGGGTAAAAATCCGGAAACTTGTCAAGACGGTGTCACGTGACCCGCAACAGCTCCCAGTAACCCCTTTCTTACCATAGCCAGGAGGTGACCCCATGGCTCTCGAGAGCTGGACGAGACTCATTCAGCTTCTGTGTGCAGCACAGTTGTCCTCCGGGGGCTGGAGAGATGGCTCAGTGGCCAACAGGTGTTGCTGTCCTTGCAGAGGATTCAAGTCTGACTCAGCCTCCACACCGGGAGGCTCACAGCTGCCTGTACCTCCAGCTCTAGAGAACCTGGTATCTCTGCCCGCCTTGCTGACTCGTGTGCATGCTGAGAGTGTGCCGTGTGTGTGTGTGTGTGTGTGTGTGTGTGTGTGTGTGTGTGTGCATGGGGGCACGCACACGCGCGTGTGTTTAAACAAAACTTTACAAAAGTACCCTTAAAGAGTGAAGGGAAAATAAAGATGGGGGGAATGACTTGCCACTAGCCAGCTCAGTCCTGAAGAACTGAGAGAAATCCTCCAAAGAGCGAGGGAGACAGAACAGAAGGAACACCGGGGACGTCAGAAAGAAGAACAGAGTGGAGACGCAGAAGGGAACGATAGTCTGCCTCCTCCTCCTCCTTCTCCTCCTCCTTCTTCTTCTGGGTTTCTTGTTTGTTTTTTGTTTTGTTTTGCTCTGTTTTTGAGACAGGGTTTCTCTGTGTAGCTTTGGAGCCTGTCCTGGAACTCTCTCTGTAGACCAGGCTGGACTCCAACTCACAGAGATCCGCCTGCCTCTGCCTCCCGAGTGCTGGGACTAAAGGCGTGCGCCACCAATTCCCGGCCTTCTTGATTCTTATATGTCATATTTCATCACGTTAGCAAAGACATGCACTCCGCACGATGATACATTACAGCAGGGAAGGAAAGGAAGGGAGCCTAAGCGGAAAGAGATTTCCACACTTCATCTGAAATGGTGGAGCTCAGGAACACCGGGCACAGATATAAACCCTGTGATTGACAGACAGACAGACAGCTGCCATGACAGTAGTACTGATGTGCACCCAGAACGCTGTCACTGAAGCAAAATGCAATCCTGCGCTTTAAGTAACTCCGAAAGGCAGGAACTTGGC